TTAAATCTGTTAAGAACGTTGGCCCATCTGGTACGCATTTTGATCAAATTTAACTAATCCGAAGATGCTCCAAACGAAATTTGCATTGCAGTGACGCAGTCCTTCGCAAGTCTCAACGCTGCATGCAGCCACGCACACCGTCGCCAAACGTCCTCAATTCGCTCTCGTCTCCTGGCTAGCATGGCGGGTCAAAAAGCTGAAACGTAGCGCACCCGCTCAATTCTGTGAATCTCTGACCCTGTGATCCTCTCCGTTCTCTCCACCTTCCCTTCCCGTACGTTGTCGAGGCCACGCCACACGCGATCGCGCTAGCCTCCTCACCCTCGGGACCGCTCCTCTCTGCGCCGTTGACTGCCACGATGCCGAACGACGCGCCGCCGCCCATCCACAGCGCGAAGGACGCCTTGGACGCCCTCGCGGGCATCCTCGGGGGCGCGCTCCCGGGCTCCGTCGCCGCGGCCGACGACCCCGTGGCCGCGCTCCTCAGCGACCCCGACGTGGCCAGCGCCGTGACGGGACGCCTCCGCGGATCCGGGTCGGGCGCCGGGAACGACAGCCTCTGCCGCTGGCTCTACGACGCGTTCCGGTCCAACGTCCCCGAGCTCCAGCTCGCGGTGCTGCGGTTCGTGCCGACGCTGGCTGGGGTGTACCTGTGCCGCGCCGTGTCCCGGAAGCCGCTGGCCGGGTTCGAGGCCGTGCTCCTCGCGCTGTACGCGCACGCCGCGGCGCAGCGTGGCGCCGGGGAGGCCGAGACCGTGTCGCTCCCGAACCTGGCGAACCCGAGCCCGTACCACGACGCCAAGGTGCCGCCCAAGGCCAAGCCCGCCGAGCTCGACGTCGCCGTGCTCACCCCGCCGCTGGAGCCGCACGGCACCGTGCGCGCCACCCGACGCGCCCGCATCGTCGGCGCGGTCCTGCAGCTCTACCACGGGAAGCTCGCGCACATGCCGCTCTCGTCCAAGATGGACTTCTGCGAGTTCTGCGTCGCCTGGGCGGGGACGCACAGCAAGCTGGACGGCGCCGACAAGCAGCGCCTCCCGCCCGCCCCCGACGCCGGCGGCGGGGCGGAGAAATGGCGGCGGGTGCCGCTGCCGTGGGAGCTCTTCCAGCCGGCGCTGCAGATCGTGGCGCACTGCCTGCTGGGCCCCACGGGATCGGACGAGCTGAAGGCGCAGGCCGCCCGCGCCGCGGAGTGCCTGTACTGGAGGGCCACCGAGACGGTGGACGCGCGCGCGGTGCTGGCCACCCGGAGCCTCGTGAGGCTGTCGCAGATGGTGGAGGAGCCGATCCCGGAGCCGTCTTTCTCTGGCGCTATCGAGAATATGGCGGAGCTGGAGGCCATGAGGGCCAACATTCTTAACTCGAAGAACTGATAGCACCACGCGCACAGTAAGCTGGACTAGGGATAACGGATTCTGCTAATGCAACGATTTTCTGCTTATGATTTTTTTTTTTGCGGGGGTAGCATTACATCTTGCAATCGGATACAAGTACTCCAATCTCTCTTTTATTATCCACCAGAGAGAGTGGTGTAATCATTTGAAGCAGACAATCAGGATTGATAAGTTTCGAGATCGTGAAATGTAACTGTCACGATACCGGTAACTCACCGACGTCACGTCGGCGGTAAGATTCAGGGCTTTGGCCTCCTCGGCAACTGCCGCCGCCTGGACGTCCGTCGGACGATACCAGGCCGATTTGTACTCCCGACGCGCGCCTGCACTCCGTGCCTCCGCTCGTGCATGTTTTTCGCGTGCCCACCCGCGGGCCTGTGCCGTGGGCACCACTGGCGCCCCCTCTCACTTTCCAGGTTCATCCCATGTTCAAGACTCGACCTACTTTTAAAACATTTAGTTGCAATATTTGCAATATACATCAAGTAAAACACTTGAGAACATGTGTCTCAAACACATACAAAAACACTTGAAAATCCTTACAAACATATGCAATATCTAGATAAAACACTTGCAATATATGTGTGAAACATATGCAACATCTAAATAAACATACTTGTAACGTACGTATAAAAAAACAGATAAAACATTGGGGAGATACACTTGCAACATACTCTCTCCATGTTTCTAAAGAATGTCGTTTTAAGATTGTCTTAAGTCAAACATTTTAAACTTTTACTACCAATAAATTCTTTAAGGTTGAGTTTAAAAATATGAAAGTGATGTAAGTAGATTTATCTCGAAACGTAGTTTTACAAAAAGTATATATAGACTATAATTTATAGGAAAAAATAGTGGTCAAAGTTGTTTTTTTATACCGTGTCAATGTCCAAAACAACTTTCTTTAGGAAAATAGAGTGAGTACGTGTACAACCATCGTACATATGTAACATCTCGATCTAATTTTGTAACACCCCGATCTACTTTTGCAACATCCGTATGAAATACTTGTAATATATCTCTAAAACATCTAAAACATTTGAATTGTACACTGCAACATGCATCGTATCCCGGTGCGGCTTCCTCCGGCGTCTGCATCAGGGCGCCGGCGCATCGCATCCGTAGGAGAAGGCGAGGCTAGAGGGCTTCCGCGCCAGAGCCCGACGTTTCTCCTTGCGCTGGCTGCGCTTGTCAGCATCGTCAGGCGGGGCGGGCAGCGGAGTGGGAGCCACGAAGCAGGAGCAGGAGCGGTGACAGGAGTTGCGGGGTGGAGGGGCGGAGCAGGAGCAGCGACGGGAGAGGCGGCGGAGCAGGGCAGGCGGCAAGAGCAGCGAATGTGACGAAAGCGGGATGTCTACTAGACCCGTACGCAGGCCCATGAAGGGGCGTATACACACAGCATTTCCGATCCTCAATGGTGGGGCTCCTGGTTTTTACGCTGGCACGCGGCTATCATTGTATTGTGTATAGCAGTTGGTCTCAACATAACAAGGCCCATGATCCAACATACGCATACATGGCACAATGGTAGATACAGTATGGCCCAGCCTGCACCCATAGCTCCTTTTCAGGTCCTAATCGTGAGACGGAGACAACATGCATCGCTTTCAGGGCAAGTACAACGCGTCTGCAGGAGCCGTCTCCACGAGGCAAGATTTGCAGAAAGCACTCTCGTTGGCAACAGAGAGGCCGAGGCCGTCGTCTCACGAGACGACGGGGTGGGCTCGTGCTCCCACGCCGAATCGACGCTCAGATTACCTGTTGTACCAATCCCGTCGATGTAGCAACAGATCGGTAGATCCCGCGCGGCCCCAGCACAGGAGAAGAAACACGCGAGCTCTGGCACAGGAGGAGATGTACGTGGCGTGCGGAGGTAGGAGTGCTGCAGCGAAGCCCTGAGAGGAGGAGATCGACCTACCCATTGCATTGCCCCTAGACGCCGGCCCGAGGTCGCCGCCGTCATCGTCCACGGGATACGGGGAAAAAGCTCCCCTTGCTGCATAGACCGAGCTAGCCGTCAACCCTGCTGCTACTCACTGTGCCCGGCCAAGCTTCGCCTCGCCGCACATATTGCTCCTCATCGCCGAGCTATGAAGGAAATAGTAGAGAGAAGAGGGAATATTTCTTTAGTGATGCTTCGAGGGAGCAGCCAAGAGCCTTGCTATCTTTTATCCGGTTTTGATTTTTACGTGAGTTAAACTTATATATCTTGATAGTATCTCTGACTTTGATAGTATGAATAGCTTGTATGAATACCTTATTTAATTTATGTTTGATCCGTTTTTTATCAAATAGCAACACAATGGTTACAAAATAGTCTTCATAATTAATCTTAACTACGTACAAAACATTAAACAACTTACAGACAATCTATTGTACAACATGTCTTTTTAGTTGTCTGTACGTCAGATTCGAGGCTCGTCCAGACGACCCCCTGTCCATGGGTTGAACATGCCCTCAGGCACAATCAGAGAAAGGGATTCAGGGACAAGCCATTTGGTCGCGCGTTCCCTACATCACTTTCAAGAAATGCTTAATAACGTAGTATCCTGCTGTAGACCTGCTGTTTTAGCACAAAGGCAAAAGGATCGTGAACAAACAGGGAAGCCGTTTAGAACAAAAGCAAAAGGGAATCACGATCACCGTGAACAAGCAGGGAAGGGAAGTGGAACAGGAAGGAATGCTGACTGCAGAGAGCAGAACAACCATTATCCCATTTGCAGGTCCCATTTGCAGCTGATCAGTCTGATCTTAAGAAGCTTTCAGGGCAATCCCATTTGCAGGCACTGAACAGTCTGATCTTAAGTGCAGACTCACCAGAAACTCGTGCACAAAAAAAAGGGCGAGGAAACTCCTGCACAAGGGCGAGGCCTATTGCACAAGGGCGAGGCCTACTCGTTGCATCTTCGGCAGTGCAAAAGGAAACATAAGTAAACAGAAGATACATTTGCAGATTTCAGAACCTCGCAACAAGAAACATAAGAATAGTCTCTTGCATCTTCGGCAATGCAAAAGGAAAACATAAGTTAACAGAAGATACATTTGCAGATTTCAGAACCTTGCAACAAGAAACGTAAAAGAAGTTAACAGAAGATACATTTGCAGATTTCAAAACCTCGCAACAAGAAGTCGTACGAACAGTTGAAGCAGTTAACAGAAGATACATTTGCAGAATTTAGAACCTCGCAACGAGAAGTCCGATCATCCGGTGAAGTTCAGATAGATAAATCGGATTAAAATGCGAAATAGTACCACAAATTACGATCGACCCCAACTTCTACTGGAAGCCCAAAACCAGAGGATGCAGAGTTCGCAGACAGAACCAATACAGACAGTCCCATCATCAGGTTTGATACAGTTTGATACAATGCGCCATTCGATAGGATAGGCAAATCGAATTCAAATGCAAGCAGAGAGGAAATCATGATAATACTCTCTTATATTCATTCATTGATTCATGAAACAACGCGCTGCGTTTGTTCACATCCCACAAACCCCAACAGTCCCAACTCATCAAACACCACCCCAAAAACCGCAGAGATCAAGCATCACCACGCGGACAAGACAGAGGCAGGGACGGTCTCTCTCCTCCTTCCGCCGACGCGCTCAGAACTCCTGGGAGGCGGAGCCGATGTCCCCCTTGTGACCAGCCTTCTTGGGCAGCAGAGTCGAGTGGATGTTGGGCATCACGCCGCCGGCCGCGATCGTCACAGTGCCCAGCAGCTTGCTCAGCTCCTCGTCGTTTCGCACCGCCAGCTGGATGTGGCGCGGCACGATCCGGTTCTTCTTGTTGTCCCGAGCAGCGTTCCCGGCCAGCTCCAGCACCTGCGAAAACCCACGAAACAATCCATTCACAACGGAGATTCAAACAGCGAGATTGGACCAGCGCAGATCTGGAAAACAGGGAGAGAGGAAGAGGGGTCGAGCGATTACCTCGGCGGCGAGGTACTCGAGGACGGCGGAGAGGTACACAGGGGCCCCGGCGCCGACGCGCTCCGCGTACTTGCCGGCCTTGAGGTACCGCGCGATGCGCCCGACGGGGAACTGCAGCCCAGCCTTGGAGGACCGCGACACCGACTTGGTCGCTGGCTTCGCCTTCCCGCGGCCGCCGCCTCCGGTGGAACTCATCGACGCTTCGCTTTTGGGTTCTGGAAACTTCCGAACTCTTCGAGGTTGGGGGCGCGACGGAGAATGAAGGGTTATTGGTGGAAGGGGCGGGCGGCGCCTGCGATTTTATAGTGTTAGGGTTCTAGTAGGAGGCGCGCTGTGATTGGCTGGGAGTTCGGAGGCACGGATCGGTGACGTGGCGAGCCAGCTCGGCCATGGTGTGAAATGCTTTCCTATGATTATGGAATCAGATCCTCTAACTTTGCCTCTGAACTGTACTATGCAGTTGCTTGAAATCTGACCACTCGCTCATATCATACGGTGAGCAGATTATATGCGCTGCCCTTCTCTGCACGCTGCGCTTTGGCCCGACAGAGCACGGCCTGTCTTAGGCCTCGTTTAGTTTGCAACTTTTTTCAACCCGATGAATAGTACCACTTTCGTCTTATTTGACAAATATTGTCCAATCATGAATCAACTAGGCTCAAAAGATTCATCTCGTGATTTCTAACTAAACTGTGTAATTAGTTATTTTTTTTATCTACATTTAATACTCCATGCAAGCAGCTAAAAATTGATGTGATGGAGAGAGAGTGAAAAAACTTGAAATTTGGATGGTATCTAAACAAGGCCTCAGTAGAAAAGAGCCAGGGCGTTCCTTTTTTGGCGCGAGTACTTGGGCCTTATTTAGATTGCAATTTTTTACAATCTGGACACTGTAGCACGTTTCGTTTGTATTTGACAAACTTTGTCCGATCATGGACTAACTAGGCTCAAAAGATTCGTCTCGTGATTTACAACGAAACTATGTAATTAGTTATTTTTTTACCTACATTTAATGCTCCATACATGTGTCTAAAAATTGATGTGATGGAGAAAGAACGAAAAAACTTGGAATTTTGAGGCCATCTAAAAAAGGCCTTGTTGTTTTGGCGTCGTTCCTCTCGTTTTTGGTGCGAGTGCAATCGCACGGACGTATCCAGGCCCCGCTCGGGTGCCATGCAAGGGTGATCGACATCTCCTGGTGCAGTTCGGTCTCCACGGATCTACAGGTTGCAAAAATCTCTGATGTAGTCGCTGAAAAAAGTTCAATTGTATTTCATTATTTGATTCTCTTTTATCTGAAGGAACAAGAAACTTTTGTATAAAAGGGAGGTAAGAAAAAGAAAAAGGCTTCAGAGGAACAAGAAAATATACGAGCTGCAATCCATGGTGGTGCAGCAGCACCAAATATTTCCCCTAGTACTTCTTTGTCCAAGGAAGGGATGTGTGAACCATACATGGTCATCAATAGCTTTTTCAAAGTAGAAGACATTTTCTCTGAACCATGGCCACTATATTGAACTATTGTTCTTTTATTTTCCAATCCAGGGATCAATGACAGATGATGTTATTGCTGACTTCTAGTAGTACAGATCAGATCATCAGCCTCCTTTGAATCATGTTCAGATAGTTTTGGGTTAGTTCAAGTGTAATATTCAGTAGTATGCAGCCTCTGAATCTGCAATTATCAGCAACAGCTTTTGTGGATTCCATTGATAATAGTATCACATGTCAGCAAACGATTCTACAGGCGTCAGTTGGATAGCAGTAGGATCAGCTGCTTCAGTTAGTCAGTCAAACTGCTAGTGCTTGCGTCCTATTCTCTAGCTGATCCTTGCATGTAGGAAGTAGTTAGCATCGCTTGGCTAGCAGTGATCGGCATCATGTATATGTACCTATACACACTTTCAATGAAAAACTTGAGCATTCTCGTTTTTTACATGGTATCAGACTGATCGTTCTGATCCAACCTCCACCTTCCGCTGCTCCTGGCCATGGACAGTCCTCACGGCTCCACCTCTTCCAATCCCTTCGTCGTGGGCAACGACCCTGCTCCTCCCCCAGCCTCCACCCTCGTGCTGCTCAACATCCGCAGCCACGTTCCGGTCATCCTCTCTGCTGATGACGGCAACTTCCGGCAGTGGCGTTCTTTCTTCGACCTCGCGATCAAGAAATTCGCCCTCGTCAACCACATCGACGGCACAGTTGATGCCGCCGCCATGATCGACGATCCGGAATGGCTCCAGATTGACTCCTGCATCGTCTCCTGGCTCTAAACCACCATGTCCAAGGAGATTTGGAGTGACGTCAACAAGTCGGGCGCCACCGCCTACTCCGCGTGGACGGCGATCACGGGGCAATTCCTCGACAACAGCCTTCAGCGCGCCGTCTATGCTCAGCAGGAGTTCCACAGCCTGTTCCAGGGCGACATGAACATCAGCGAGTATTGCGGCCGTCTCAAGCGCCTCGCCGACACTCTCTACGACTGCGGCGCCGCCGTCTCCGATCCGGCGCTCGTCATCAACACGCTGTGTGGCCTGAACAACAAGTTCAGCCAGGCCATTGCTGTTCTCTCCACCATGACTCCGCCGCCCACATTCCTCTACACCAAATCCTATTTGCTGCAGGAGGAACATCGGATGCGGCACTCTCAAAAGATGGAGGCGCAAACGGCGCTCCTTGCAGCCGCCACCACCTCCACAACAACCCGGCCCGTGGCGCTGCCCCCACCTCCGCCGCAGGCACCCAACACCGGTGCCAATGACCGTTGTAAGAAGCGCAAGTCCGTTGATGGTCGAAATCGCCAGAACGCCTCCGGCGGACAGAGTGCAGCAACGAGCGGCCACCCTGCGCCCCACGCCAGTGCGCCGCCGCCACCGTGGGCCTCGGCCTACAACCCTTGGCAAGGCGTTGTTCAGGCGTGGCCGATGAACGCCTGGCGACCTGGTGTCCTCGGCTCGCGGCCAGGCGTCAACCCTCCGCAGGCCATGGCGGTACTCTCAGCCCCACCGCCTCCGCACGATCCCGCCCTCTACGCCGGCGCCCAGGGCTCTCTACCGGCCAGCCTCTACTCTGCCCTCAACGGCCTATCCATCAACAACCCGGTGGCGGCGGCGGCGACTGGTTCCTTGACACGGGAGCCACGGCACACATGGCGTCCAATTCCGGTATCCTTAGCTCCGCTCCCTCCCCCTCTGTTCATCATCATATTGTTGTCGGCAATGGCCAATTTCTTCCTGCCCAGTGCACTGGCAACGCCTCTATTCCTACCACTTCTTCTCCTTTGCAACTTCGTAATGTTTTAATTGCTCCTCAGCTTGTCAAAAATCTCATTTCAGTGCGTGCTCTAACCCGTGACAATTCCGTTTCTGTTGAATTTGATCCATGGGGCTTCTCTATCAAGGATCTCCGCACCAGGACGGCTCTGCTCCGATGTGATTCGTCCGGCGAACTCTACCCACTTCGCCATCACTCGGCGCGCCCTCCGACTGCTCTCCTTGCATCGCACAACAGCACGCTCTGGCATGCGCGCCTTGGTCATCCCGGTCATGCCACGCTCCAACGCCTGTCGCGCTCCATAGGTTTTTCTTGTTCCAAGTCCAGTCGTCATACATGTGAAGCCTGTCGCCTTGGCAAGCATGTCCGGCTGCCTTTTACCGAGTCCAATAATATTTCTCAGTTTCCCTTTCAGCTTCTGCATTGTGATGTATGGACCTCACCTATAATGAGCAATTCTGGTTACAAATTCTATCTTGTCATTTTGGATGATTTCTCGCATTATGTTTGGACCTTTCCCTTGCGTCACAAATCCAATGTTCTACCCACTCTCATCTCCTTCCATGCCTTTGTACGCACTCAGTTTCAGGTGCCCATTATGTGTCTCCAAACCGACAATGGCAAAGAGTTTGATAACTCGGCGTCGCGCGCATTCTTCGCCGCGCACGGCATTGCTCTTCGCCTCACCTACCCATACACATCCCAGCAGAACGGGCGTGCAGAACGCGTCCTCCGCACTCTCAACGATGGCATTCGCTCCTTGCTATTTCAGGCATCCATCCCACCTAGCTTCTGGCCGAACGTGCTCGCAGCCTCCACTTATCTACTGAACCGGCGGCCGTGTCGACCTCGTAACAACTTGACCCCATTCGAGCTGCTTTTTGGCTCGCCGCCAGATTACAACCACCTCCGAGTTTTTGGGTGCCTTTGTTACCCCAACACCGCCTCTACAGGCCTGCACAAGCTGGCTTCGCGTTCTGTCCGTTGTATCTTCCTTGGCTATCCGCTCGACCAAAAGGGATACAAGTGCTACAATCCTGTTACCAAACGTGTGCTCATCTCACGTCACGTCTATTTCGATGAGACTTGTTTTCCATTTGCACAGGTTGACACGACGCCACCATCTGCTGCTCCTCCATGCTCGTCGTGCATGCCTGACATGGTCCCGCTCCCCACCTAACCAAGCCAGTCTTGACGGCGTGCTCCAGCAGTGCAGCTCGGCGTACCAGCAACGGACTCTCAATCGACTGAGACCCCGTTGCCCACTGCTTCCAGCAACACGACATCCCCGTAGCCGGACGCGTAGCCTGCGGCACCGTCGTCGTCGCCTGCCGCGACATCATCCTCAGCGCCCGACTCTGTGACGTCGGGCTCTCCACCATTGAGGGCACCGCCGGACCCTCCAAGGACGTCGTCCGTGCAACCGCAATGACACCCGATGGTCACGCGTGCGCAAGCTGGGATCCACATGCCTAATCCCAAGTATGCACACGTCGCCGCCATGCCTGCGCCGCCGCCGCCGCCGTCAAGTGTCCGGAGTGGCTGGCCGCGATGCAGGCCGAATTCAACGCCCTGAAGAGCAACGGCACATGGACGCTCGTGCCCTGACCCGCACAAGCCAATGTCATCACCGGCAAATGGCTCTTCAAGAACAAGTTGCATCCTGATGGCACATTGGAGCGTCGAAAGGCCAGATGGGTCGTCCGCGGGTTCTCCCAATGCCCCGGCGTCGACTTCCATAAGACCTTCTCCCCGGTGGTCAAGCTGGCGACGATCCGAATAGTACTGCACCTCACGGCGACAAGACGGTGGCCTGTGCATCAGCTCAACGTCAAGAACGCGTTCCTCCACGGTGATCTTGCCGAGCGCGTGTATTGTCATCAACCTGTAGGTTTCGTCGACCCCGCTTGCCCCGACCATGT